CATGGTGAGAAAACTATTCAATTTCAAGTTTATTTTATATTGTTTGGAAAATTCCAACCTCTTCACGGATAAAGAGACAGAAATAGAACAAACAACTGTATGTTATTAAAAGTTTTTATTCGACCTATCAAATTAGTGCTGTGTCGCGTCCATGTACTGTTAGCATTAAAGTACCAGGGAGCCGTGATCTTCATAAACGGTTCCCTCGATTGGTTGAAGCAAGAGGACGGCGCGACTGGCCTGCGAAACCGAAGGAATTTGGGATATTGCTGAGACGTAAATAACCTTAAGTATTCACGATATATTGTGTTTATTGTCAAAACGTTAGTCTTCCATCCAGCCGGTCAATGCAACAGATTCATACCTCTTCCGGATTTACGTAATCCTTTTAAATAGAAATATTTTTGAAGCACTTTCCGGCTCCAAAAAGTTTTAGATTGGTAATGCATGAACACAAAAGCTTGTCTCAGTGTCATTACGCCATATAAATCAGAAATGACATGCATTTGTCGTTCTAACTGGTGGTATAGAGAACTAATCTTTTGTAGTACACCGAAAATATGGCCATTAATGAAGGTGATGCTCCAGTAGTTTTAGACACAAACAATAGACCGATGTTGAAGTTTGTATTGAAACTGCAGACGTTTCAGTCAAACTACTCTGGTCATCTCTTACAAGGCAAGCAATGTATTTAGAGGCTCTGCACGCCATCCTCGTCTCAGCGGCAGAATCAATAGAAAAATATGTTTGGTAAATCTGCGTTAGTCATTTCTCGTGTCGAGATTCACTTTCCACCAGGTCTGCAGCCTTGAGAGGCCAAGTCAGTTCTGTCTTTCACAGCTGTTCTTCTAAGTGTTCGCCGTCTGTTCTTTCTACCAAAATATGCAAAAGGCGTGTCATAATGCCTTTCTGATTATTTTGCATGAAGTTAACATATTTAATTGTAGATGATTTATGACGAAACTGAGGCAAATAAGGTAAAGATCGAAGAGCTGCTGAACGCTGAACATGATGATGCGGAAGGGGAACAAGTGAAACTTTCGTCGCTGAACGTCAAAAGCTTGAAGCAGCGTTGGGATGGTTTGCTAAACAAAGTTTACGACAGAAAGGTTGATAGGATCTGATTGCTGTTGATTATTGACGTTACATGTTTCTATCCGATTTCAGACCAAACTGGAACTTGCTCTTCAAGAGGCGGTAGAGTTCGACGAGTTAATAAGTCACTTCACTGAGTGGCTGCAGAAAGCGGAAAACTACCTCAACGATTTGGTGCCGGTTTCCCGTCTGATAGATCCGCTGTCAGCTCAGATGGACGAACATCAGGTCGGTTTGCATTATTAACTCCTCGTTCTGTTTGTTTCAATATCTCGTAAATCTTTTTATGAACTTCGTTTAATTTATTTTAAATCTTTTTATTTAACAGCTTATATGTTGCGCTCGTTGTTAAATGTTAACACGTTTATTAATACTAATAATTTAAAAATTTCCTGCAGCTGTTCATTAGCTTCGGTTGTTATTTTACAGATATTTCAAAATGAGGTGGAGTTAGAACGAGAAATCGCCTCTGACCTCGACAAGAAAGGCACGAAACTTAAGTACACGTGTCAGAAACAAGATGTTACTATTATCAAGAATTCACTCGCATCGGCGAAGACGCGGTGGAATAAGGTTCTGGCGCGATCTGCTGATCGCACGAAACTGTTGGAAAGCAGCTACAAGGAAACGTCGGAAGTAACCGCATGCATAATAAATCTTCGGTTGATGCCCGTAACTTTGCTATAATTATGTGTTTAAGTTCTTGACACTCTGGAAAGTCCTTTGCAATTGGTGCGAGGAAAGTATTCGTTGGCTGAACGAGCAGGCTTCCGCTTCATTGCCCAGCAATGCCCAGAAAATCAAAGAGCATCTGGACAAGCATAAGGTGTGTTTGAAAACAAGTACATTTCCAATTTACTTGTTATTTAAATTTTATTCGGTATCGTATTCAGAGAATGCCGTTTCTTAGAAATTAATGAACCTCATTTGAGCAGTGTCGTTTAGATCGATGGTCTGAAAAAGTATTTTTCGTTCGTCTTCCGCATCCCTACGTCGGTGTTGTTTCGTATCATTTTTCCTCTGTTATCATCAGATTGTGTTGCTGGACTGTGTTCGCCAGTTCATTTCATCCGTTTCCTGATGCTGTCTTCACCATCATATAAAATGTTCTGCAATCGCTTGGTTCTGCTGTAGCGGTTATCACGTAGTTTGCCAGCACCTGACTCCATTCGTTGACTTGCCCAACGTGATGTTCCTTTTAATTGCCTCGGTTTCATTGCAGTCGATTTTGTACAGCACTTCGATTTCTATTACTTAAAGTTAAATTCGGTGCTATGAATCGTAGCTTGTGATACATTTGACATTTTACGTCGTCGAACTCATGTCTTGCAGTATTGTTTTGAACCCTTTCGCGTTCGCTGAAGTTAGGTTTCTTCTACCTGCGCATTTGGACTGATTGCCTTGTTACTCTGGTTATTGCTGCTGAGATTCAGGGCAGTAGTGGCTTTCGATCCTCATTTGTAATATCTTCATCTTCATCTTCCATCGCCGCTTCTCCTTCCGGGTCGCGGAGGCAGACGCGTCAGACAGT